CCGGACAAACTAAACACTCCTCTCACTCAGCGCTGAGTTCACTCAGCTGTTTTCTGACGTTGAAGCCGAGAAACGGAGATTCTAGCCGCTCAGTAATGTGTTCACGACTGAAAGAGAAAGTTTTCCAACTAACGTCCAGACAGAGCTGATATAACTCCAGCGAACAGCGACACGCTCAAACCAGCACGGCTCTGTGGTTGCTGTCGTTGTGTTTCCTCCCCGACACACAACAACGTGGTCAAGCTGCTCAGACATGTTCATCAGCACAAACCTATGTGAGCACCTGTTGTCATCTAATGTTGTCATTATTATGATGAAGTTGAACAAAACAACGGGAGTCTCCTCCTCAGCTCAGATCAACCCCATGATGCAGGTATCTGGCTGGAACAGGTGAGCATCACAGTAAACCAGTGGAGCAAACTGAGCTTTAAATATGTTGGGTTTTTTCTCTTTTTCTGCTCCAAAACATGAAAGTTAACAGGTGAGATGTTGCATTTTCATTTAAGATAAAATGGTATTTTTATTTTGTTGTTGGCCCGTGAGAAAAGATTTAAAAGATTTAAAGATTTAAAAGATTTTAAAATTGCTGATTATACCACAAGTATTGAATACCACTGATGCATTTTATTTAAAACTGACTTGCTCGTGTGTAATTTGGTTATTCCACATTCAGTGTTAATGCAGAAATAAGTTTGTTTCCAAATTTAAAGGTTCGAAATTGCATAAATGTTGATAAAGAAAATGTGCAAATTTGCCGTCACTTTTTCAAAAAATATTAAGCTTGGCCCTCGACTCCGTCCCAGAGTTTCATTTCGGCCCCATGTGAGTTTGAGTTTGACACCCCTGATCTAAATGATAAATGACCCACACTCGTATAGCGCCTTTCAGAGTCAGAGAACTCCAAAGCACTTTACACTACAGTGAATCAGTCATCCATTCACACACACATTCACACACTGAATATGATGATGAGCTACAATGTAGCCGCAGCTGCCCTAGGGCACACTGACAGAGGCGAGGCTGCCGAGCACAGGCGCCTCCAGTCCTTCCGACCACCACCATCTAAATCACCAAGCAGCTCAAAACAAAATGAAAACCTTGAGGAAAATAATGCTGGACCATTAGTAGGATCTGTCCTCACAGGTAGCCATGTTGATTTTTCCATTGATTCAATTTGCATAGGATTTATGGGCAAACATAAAACATTTGACCAAAAACTAATTTCCTTTCGTATTTTTTAAATGTTTTTGGCAGATTGCACATAGTGAATTGTTTACATTTACTTTGTTCAAAAGAAAGGCAAGGCAGAGAAGACATATTCAGATCCATTAGAGCAAACACAAGGGTTGAACTTTCACACCTAAAATACTAAAAACACATTAAATATAAAGAAGTTCATATGGGAGCAGGCTGATGTCCAAATGCATGGTTTTGTTTCTGTTGAGGTTTTCATTTGTGAACTCTGAGGAAGCGTCAGAGTTTCCAGAGCAGCTTTTGTGTGTGGAGTTAATCATTTGCAATAAGTCCAGCAATATTCTGGTGTTTCGGCACCAACTGCATTCAGGCATTAAATGTTAGCTATGGATGAGTAATGGCACAGATGAAAACCCCCAACAAAACAGCAAGATCGTGGGGGTTTATGACAAAATGTGGACATTAATAACGAAAATAACATCTCTGAAGAGTTCCTAGTTTACATTAATTAAACCATAGCCCCTGGCAAAGTGCATATCAAGCAGGATTTGCAAACAAACAAGTGGCAAAACTACTTACCGTCAAGCAGAGAAGCAACGGGGTCATATTGCTAAAGATTTAAAGAGAATGGAGGTGCAAGAGAAGAAGACACAAGGAGCTGTGGGAGGCAGACAAACTAACACCAGATGCAGCATTTCACTTTATCATATCGTTAATATTTTCTCTCTATATTTTCGTGCTGCTCCATTTAAATAAATCAGGCCTATAGGACTTTGAGCGCCACTGGCATGCTACAAAAGTTGTGCGTAGCGAGTGTTGTATTTGTGTGTGGCTGCAGCTCGGAGCATTAGTGCTTGTATGTGTGAGTAGAGTTGAAGGGAACAGCAGAGCAGCCCCAGCCTGACACCCATCAACGTCTGGCTGTTACATTTATATGACACGCTCTGTCTCAGGGAGAGAAGCCACAGTGGAACAGTGGGAATGGAGGGGAGGACAGGAGAACACGAAATGGACAGGATGGGGGTGAGGGGTGTAGATACTGAGAGGTAGAAGGAAGGAAACTTGCTTTCTTACTAGTGATACATGCCAACTTTCACTTTTAATGAATGCTGCTCTCTCAAACGATGAAGCCCGCATAAAGGTCAGCTTACAAGGAAGAACTCTGTTCATATTAGATTAAATGACCTCTTTGCTCACACTAAGCATGTCTGTTTAAAAACTCCAATCAGAGTATTGCTTGGTTGTCTGTGCCTCTCTCAGACCACAGCTAAAGACTGCAGGTAGCATTTGTAGAATCTGGTCCAAATCAGCCAGAATGTTTTGCACAAACCAGGAGATTGCCGTATCCAAAAAGGCAGTATGTAGTTTTTACCTTTAATCTCTGAAAATAACCATCCAAATGTTGTTGAAAATGAATAAAATGATGTCCAGTCATTGAAAAACATTGACAGCTTCATAACATAAAACCATTAAAATAGGGTCTAATTTACATAGTGAGCGGGTCTAACGACTTTCGGGATGCCATGTTAGACGCAATGCTTCCTTCCGGATGGCTCGGGCTATGCCTGTCGATGACGTCACTTTAGATAATTGGCTGGATATATGACTTTACAACAATACCACCTTCGAAAACATTTGGGCAGTTAGAAACATGAATTTAATAACAAAACTGCTTAACTCTTTCCAAAACCTATGAGAAAGAACAGAATTTAAAAAGAGATGCAATATATTTTGTACTTGTGATATTGCCGTAGTATAATGATGTCATCAGCAGGCACAGCCCCTGGAGCAGATCGGGTATAGTGTCAGAAAACTAGCATCGGCATTGCATTCTCTTGATGGAATTAACTGAAGTCTGAAGATCAGGCCAAGGTTGCATGCCTTCTGCTCCCCAGGTAACAACATTTACTGTAATGTTTTGTAAGCTAGCGATAGTCACTGCGATATGGTGTAAAACTACCCTTAAATGTATGCACTGCCCCTAGCTCCAGTAAACTACACACCGCCACTTTAAAAAAACCTAACTGTTGATTTAAAGGTGCATTATGTGGAAATGAAGTAAAAAATAACATCTTGTGGTGAAATGTGGTTACTGCAACCACCTTGAATAACTCTGGAGCTTTTTGCCGGCCATTGTCCAATTACAATTGTCGGTGCTGCAGTGTTTGTTCGCAGGAGACACGACATCCCCACACTCACTGATGGTAAACAGTAGTTCCTTTGTACTGAAATGAGAAAAAAAAACTCACAATCCCCGCAGCCCTCTGGATATAAACTCTGTTTCAGTTTAACATTATTTTCAAAATGACTGAAACATTAGATTTTGGGGGGATTTTCTCACAGAAAAATAAAATTATTCATACATACTGCACTTTTAACCAATGGCCAAGATATGATAACTAAAAATGTGTTTGATTTTCCATTGAAAGAGGAGTTGGCATTGCTCATATGGGAGGCAAGACAAGTTTTCCTTTTCTCTCTGGAGCTGCAGGGAAGCTTTCTGAAGGACAACATACCATCAAAGGATGATTTTCACCTGGATGTTAATTTTATTGTGGATAGAAACACTGAAATGACACTAAAGTCATGTTCTCGTGTGCACTTCTACACAAAGGCAGGGGCTTTTCTGGAAGTTCATTTATTTGGGTTTTCAGGAGTTAAATATACACAATTTACTTGTTTATTTTTTAATCCATGCCTATAAATGTGACAGTGTGAGCGTCATGTCACAGTGTCCCGATTGACCATGCGCCCTGGCTACATGGCCAAGGGGATGTCCCTTTCGCTGACTGGTTAGCACGCGTGACTCTCACCCGGGAGTCTGGGGATCGAATCCCATCCGGACCCTCATTACTCCACCTTGCCACACAAAGCATGGCACCTTGTGCTTGTACATAAGGCCAATCACAAAACACTTAGGTCATCTGGATTAGTCACAGCCTTGTCAAAAATGATTCCCCTCATGATGGAAAAGCTCCTAATAAGTAATAAGAGCTAAAATGAGCCATGGAATATTCTTTTCAAACAGAATGAAGCTGATGTTACTAAAGAAATACAAAAAACAAAGGTTTGGAAAAGACGTACAGCTGGATTTTCATCTCAGATGACGACTTGTTCACAAGAACCGGGTGTGTTGTCTATTTACTATACAATCACATGAATTCTGACACTCAGATTCTAAGAGAAAATGTGTTTTATGTCTTCGTCCTAATTATTCAAATGCAGTGCATAAAAGCAGAGAGATGCCCTCTAGCCTCCCGCTTGGCAAATTTTGCAGGATACATAAAACAACTGAAAATATGTAAAACGTTTTTAGTTGCGTTTACTTTCTTAATCTCAAGCAAGTGCCTTTTGGCTGGAAATGTCAGGGCCTTAGTCTTCTATCTGGGGGTGTTTTGGATAATTTGGTTATAGATGTTTACAAATGCAACTTAGTCTGATCGCCATGCTGCTCCTGTTAAGTCCCTTTTACCCACTTGTCTTTCCTTCGACACTACCAGAGCCTTGATCAGAATATTACATAGATGTATTTTACAACATAAATCAAGAGCAAACTAAATTTTTAAATTAAAATTTTAAACCATTCAACTCTTATTCTGTTTGCTCGGCTTCACGGAGATTGAGGCTTTTCTATTTCTGTCATTTCATTCTGTTGGTTAAAAGGTGTGATGCAGAAAAAGTCTGATCAATGCTTCAGAATATCCCCTTGAGACCAGACACATGAAAAAAGTTTAAACCCGGCCTTCAAAAGGCCACGCTATTGATTGAAAAGCTTTCCAAAGTGTTTTTCATCTCTGGGATTATAGGAGGAAAATGCCGGCTGTTGTGCAGCCCAGTGCAGATGGCACGGCTGACCACCATGGAGGGAAGGGAGGAAGAGTCAAAAGAGGAGGAAAAACAGACACACTCTTACCCCTGGCAGTGTTTTCTGTTCATGGAGGGCATTCTGGGCCTTGATGGCTGACTCACGGGCGCAGTAGGTGAGAAATGCACAACCTGAAACAGAAACGAGGCAGAAAAAACCCTGATTAGAATAGGAGGTGGATAATCTTAACTATTAAAGTACTAAAGGGGAACTGAGTAAAGGAAATAAAATACAAAACCCCCCTTTACTTCTCCCATGAAAAAAGATAAATCAATTTGTAATCATCCAAATGCATCTCAAAAGTTATCTCTGTTATTTGTCATATTTTGGATACAGAATGAAAAAAATCTTTACTTCTGTCACAACAGGAAAAAAAGAATGAGAAGGAAGGAAGGCACTGCAGCAAGGACTTTACTTTACTGCACAAAATGTCACCAATCAGCAGGTAAGACCTTTTTTTAAATATACACAGAATTTTAACTTTATACTTAAGAAAGGTAAAAAATAGGGGTGGGGATTTTTCGCATTAATTACGATTATTAAATAGTTAGAAAAAAATAATGCATTAAAATGTACCCCTTTGAGCCCCAGCGTCCCCAATTCGGGGTCGAAAATGTTTAGCATCATAATTTATGACCTATATATCGATAACTATCATCAGGCTGTACCTGTAACAAAACAGTAGAGCCTGGACTGCAATACCATAAAAACTTTTTTATGTTCTCCAAGCACAACTAAAACAATATAATTAAGTAAATTGTGACAAATCGTTCTTCATAAAAGAGACACGAAATCTAGTTTTTTATTGTTATGTTTTCTAATTGGTAGAAATGAGGCAGGTAGCAAAACTTCCCCTGAACTCTGCGCTGCACCTCCACATATTAGTAATGCTCTGCTGCCACCTAGTGTTCAGTTCAGTGCACAACATGTACATTGTTCCTGGCCATTTACACTTCATTAATGACCCATGTACTATTATTTACACATCCCAAAAAAATCCCACAATGTTTACTTTTACAATGAGACCAAAGTCATCAAGTAAACCTTGATTACAGAAATATACTGATTATAGTCTGGGTATGTCATGTGTACCTCATTAACATTACTTTAGATTTAAAAATAATTACTTGGGCACAAATTGTCTTGAACAATTAAATTGTAATTAATCAAGATTGGTTAATTAAAACGCCTTTAATTAATTAGATTTTTTTAATCTCAGCCTTAGTAAAATAAAGGGCATTTCATAGACTCCATAAAGTGAGCGGATCAATTTCAGACATTGAAAAATGTCACAATAAACATGATTAAAAAGCTAATTCTGAATGTAAGATGATATGAGTCACTGAAAACTTTGTCAACCTAGTTTGAAATTGACACCAAGTTTGTGGAAAATAGTAACGAAGCAGGACTTATAGAGCTTTTTTGTGTGTTTCAAGCGTGAGTGGAGACGAGGTGACAGAAATGAAATCTACAGCCATGTTGGTTTCCTCACTACGAATCTTCGTGGCAGCTGGAGAAGCAAAAGAAACAAGCGTGTGAGGAAAATACCGATGGGGGTAGCAGAAAAGTGGGAGAGAAGATCACCTGAGGGAGGGAAGGGCAGATACTACTGACAAAGTAGAAAGTACGTAGATCAGGACATGATTTAAACCTAAGATGGTTTTCTAAATGCAACACCTCTCTTTATGAGTCTTTACTTTTCTTTTCTGCTTCCCCTTCAAACCTGGAGTTATTTAGGTTATAATCACACCTGCTTTGTTTGTCGTCATGTTCTCTTACTGTAGATAGTTAGCCTATAGCTTCTTTAGCCCATGACCAGACAGCAATCTAATTTAGGCTTAATTTATTCATAATGACTGAGCCACAGGCGAAATTTCAACAAAATCTCTTGCAAAGCAATCAATGGATGTTTATCCACATCTGTCAGTCAGCTGTACTCAAAACGACCATCCCAGCTAATCTTAGTCAATATTAACCAAAACAACAAAGCTGAAACTGTCAGTTGTTCTAGGATTGAATTGCAAGTGAAAGTAAATGAGAGCCATACTCTGAGATGCAAGCAGATTGTGAAAGATCTTGCAAAATCACAGGATGATGCCTGAATGTTTTTCCAAAACAGCTATAATTTCATTATTCCTCAACATAAGACTATTTAAATTTAAAACTCTTGCAAAAAAGCCTGAAGGTGATATGTATTTTTCAATAAATGCTAATCCTTTGATTCTTCATACATTTCTCAGCAACTCCTGACACTACGAAATGAATCTTTAAGAGTTTTTGGAAGGAAAATGATTAAAATATTCTAAAATTGCAACAAACGACCGCTGATTTCTAACTCTGCAGGATGTCTGAAACTTGTGCTCCAAGCTGTTGATCTGTTTATGTTTTGACGTTGTATAAAATGAAAGTAAAAACTGAAATTTGCTTAAAATTATGAAGAAATTGTAAGCCTTTTGTAAATCAAGTCAACATTTAACCAGAACATCAACTACAGCATCAATAGACACACGTTGACGAAAAGCCGAGCACACACATATATCACATATCTGTACACACAATGGGAAGAGAAACAATAAGATGGAAGAAACCCATCCAGAGTGTCGAGGCAATCATATTTCCCTGACTATGTGGATAAATAGATTTGCTTGTGTTCTATTAATGAGGTTCATGTGGGTTAGCGTGCATCATATTTCTGCCACTCTGAGGATGGTTTATTAGCAGCCACTGCATTCTGGATCTCATTTCATCAGCTAAATGTATTCGGTGGGTGGTGATGTATTAAGTGTCTTTACACGGACAATATTCCAATCCACTTTTCTCGTACAAGATCACTTTTAATCATCAGCGAACCATATTTTTTGTGCCTTAACACACTCTGCGTATGTCCTCACTGCAGCCTTGACAAGACTGTATCAAGAAGTCACCGATCCATCTACTGTCAGGGAAAATGTTTTTGTCAGAGAGAAAAGGAACTTGATTTTTCTTGCACACTGCCATGTGAAACCTGAAGAATTAGAAAAAAAAATTCTTAATTTAACTCAGTAATTAAACTTGAAAGGGTAAACTAACATATGAGATAGATTTATTACATGCAACACCAGGTGTTAGAATTGTGATGATCATGGCTTACAGCTGATGAACACCCAATATTCATAATCGCAGACAATCAGAATACTTTCAAAAGGTTCAATTCTCTAGACTCAAAATGTCACATTTTAATCAGATAATGAATCCAAAACACCTGCAAAGGGTTCCCGAGCCTTTAGATGGTCTCTCAGTCTAAGATGAATTACTGAAATAAATGGGGTTTTTCACAGTTTTCTCATTTTTCCAGGTTCACCAGTAGGTACATTATTTACAATCGCTAATGTGTTCAGTAGAACTGTGACCTTTCAGGTCACAGGTTGTGACAATGATGTCATCATGCAGCCCTCTGCAAAGCCTCCCGTGTTCTGGCAACCATAACCTAATGATTTTCAATTGGCACCACCAAGTAAAGCTCTCAATTACTCACAGTGCTGTCAAACACAATGTCTTTCTATTTCCTGTGTCAAAATAATTACTAATACCGCAAAACGCTGAAAGTTTAGGAATGTTTGTTTTGTTAATGGGTGAGCGTAATCAGATGGAATGGCTTTCTTTTGGTTGTTGTTTTTCTCTCCGGGCTTGTTGTTGTTCGGTTTACTTGACAAATGCTGCCCCTGTCCCTGAATAAGAAGCAAGTATTTTGCATTGCAATCACCAAGACGATTTATTTGTTAATGTGTAATGCATAGGGCATTGAGAATAAATTAATAACAACCACAACACTGGGAAACAAAAGAGAAACATGAACTCCATTTAAATGTGATTCCATGCTCTTTAATGTATGGCTTAATAGGAATTTGCAGGCCACGGGCAAAAAAGCTTTAACAACTCCGTAATTGGAATCCAAACACGTACAAATTGCCAGTGCTGCATTGCATACCAAGTGTGTGTGTGTGTGTGTGTGTGTGTGTGTGTGTGTGTGTGTGTGTGTGTGTGTGTGTGTGTGTGTGTGTGTGTGTGTGTGTGTGTGTGTGTGTGTGTGTGTGTGGTTGGGGGGGTGCATGATGAAATTGTTTGAAACACAACAAAAAGCCACTGTAATCAAAGCCTGCTGACACAGCAATGGGGAAGCCTTCCCACTGAGAAGAGATGATCCTCTGCATCATCTGATGGAACGTGAGCACAGCTCAGGCTCATGCATTGATTTCAGCTCCAAAAAGAAGAAACTCTGTCGCTCCCTGCGAAGCTTCCCTCCTCTCTTCTTTTCAAACTTTTCCTCTGATCACCAATTACAACTCTGCATCTGCTCCCCTCTTTCCTAATGTTCAAGTTTTAAGTGTGCAATGTTTTCAGAAATAGGGATAGCTCTCGCCCTGTCAGCTCCACTAAATTGGCGTGTAATTAAAGACTGTGGGCTGTGGCGAGCGAGGCAAACGAAGAACGGGAAACAATTGTGAGGAAGCGTGTTCTTGCTTTGTTGGGTGTGTGTGCCGACTGGGTCGGTGAGCCACTTCTTCCTGCTCTTAGCTCACCTGTGAGAATTGCTTCTGAAGCTGACAAAAAACAGATATTACCATTTGGAGTGTGATGAGCATTACTCTGGATGTGTTTTGCCCCTTTTATTGTTCTACAGTTGGACAAGAAGATGGGGCAGAACTGAAAGAAACTTGAAACTTAATTAAGTTAAAAACACCAACAAAAATCAGTTTATTGACTCATTTGTTTTCTAATTGACCACAAACGTGCTAAACTGTGAAGTCAGCTCATAACATCTCATTTAAAACAAACAAACCAAAACAAAAATGACTTTATATAAGACGAGAATATTTAGAAGCAGCAGGACCAGGACTAAGGCAAGTTCTGAGACAAAAACAAATGTCATTAAAACAAATCAACAGTCCTTAAGTAGGTGATTACAGATGAGACACCGGTGTAATGTTTATATTGGAACAATTATTGGGATAAATATTTTACTCTATCAGGGTGTGTTCACTAACTCAGAGGTCAAGTTAAAAATTCCACATTTTTTCCAATCAACATTATTGTCTATAATATACAAACATTATATGTGGATAATGAGTAAACAGCATATTTTTCCAACTTAAATGGATATTTTACAACTTTTTCATATTTTTTAATCATTTTCTTTAGCCAGTATGTGCTAAAATGACCCTTTACAGGATTAATGAAAGGCCACCCAGCCCCTATCGCCTCCTGTGGTCAGAAAATGCCACTTGCAACTTCAGACTGGCAGATCGCTTTGTTGGGACATAAAAACAACTGAGCTGACATACATGGTGCTGCAGTCTGCTTCCAGCATGTTTCCTGTATGTTTTAGATCATGAGCTGAATTGTTTAATTTACTGATGAGCCACTCCTGTAGACACTAAAGCCGGGCGTACACTGTGCGACTTTTTCACTCGTAGCACTCAGCTTCAGCTCAAACTGTACGATTTCCTCGCAGAGCAGATCTCACGAGTCAGGCGCTCACACTGCACGACCCAGTTCTCGCATGCGACCTGACTGCTCACACTGTACGTCTGGTAGCAACACGTCGGCCCTAAAAATATGCTAAAAATAGCAGTTTTTACTCAACACGTCAGACTTTTTTGTCTTGTTTCACCTGTTGTCCTTCGGGAGTGCTGCAGGAGGACACACAGGGGTTTATGGGGGTTGGATGAGGAAAACGAAATAAAGAAAGTAAATCTGTGTTTTGTGATCAGTTTCTTTGTGAGTAAAAAAACGTGTAGAAACAAAAACGAACAACGTGTGTTATTAGGGAAATAGCGGGGAGCGGTGTTGATGCAGGATTGCGCATGTGCCGTGAGCGGTTCTGATACATTTTGGGTCACAGCTGCTTGCAGCGCCGCTTCAACAGTGTGATACCCTCAAGAGGGACGAGCGAAATATTAAACACGCCAGAAGTCCGTGCGACCTCACGACTGCTGATCGGCAGCTGGTCACATGGTGTTAATCGCCTCTCGTGACCACCTGTACACTACACGACCGCTCGGCGCAAAACTTGCCCCGATCTCGTGGATTCTCGCACGACTGGAAAATCGGCTCAAAAAAGTGAAAAAGTCGCACAGTGTACGCCCGGCTTAAGGAAGGCTGGACGACTTTCAGGTGTTAACAAGATGAATGAACGTTTTGCTTTCAGTTCTACAAATGGACACAAGGGAGTGCTAAAAGCAAAGTACCCTTCACAAACTGCAGCCATTTATTAGATGAGTCTGCCAATAACAACAGTTGAATATGAAATATGTACTGTTTAAATCTAAGCTTCACATGGTTTTGCATATATTTAATGTGAGTTTATTTTAGCTAACAGCTAAAACACTTTTCTCTGAACAAACCAGGAACAGCAAATAGCTCCGCGTTGGCATCGGTGAGTTTAGTCACCATCAGAGCGTGTTCAGCTAGCGCTTTTACAGATAAGATTAAATATCAAATACAGCATTCAGAAACTTCTCTGTAATTATTTTGTTTACTAGTATTTTTAGAACCTGTAGTATTTATTTCTACTTCTGAACAACACATTAAAAGAGTTTACTCTGAGCGTTGTCATTGAGGTGTGCTCTCCCATTTAGATCCGTTCTCACTAAGGTTTTTAGCAAGCTGGAAAACTGAACTAACAGTGATAGGAACAGATACATTTCACTAATACACAATATCAAACTGGACAGTTTTCTTGACAACATGAGCTGATGATGGTGATGGATGGTTAATGCAGACTCTCTGACTTGGCCTTGTCTGACTGCCTCGGCTTCTTCCTGTCGTGGCAGACACTTCATTATTTTATGATAAGTTGTCACTCTGTCTCTTATTCCGTAGGCTTTTATGAACAGATATCTCATTTTGCCAAATGTTTTTTTCAATGATTAACAACAGGTTAATGATGCTGTCTTGCTGGATTTCTCACATCAACCTAACACTCCGTTAGACTCATTTTATAAATTGATAGGAACTAATTTATGCATCTGATTAGTCTTCAGCTAATGTTTGTTTATTGCTGTTAAGGTGCACAAAGGGAAATGGAGCGTACTGGAAGAGAGTGAACCAAACCAAATGAAAAGAGGTGATTTGATTAAAGGGGAACATGATCTTACGTCTTCATGGTGAGTTTCTTAACGATTGTTAAAGGAAAAACATTAAAAATGGTTCTTGTGCACAAGCAAAACCATCCCATGCACACAAAAAAATGACAGGAAAAGGCTGTTCAAGGAGTATTCTGTGGCCACTGACATGTGAGGAATACTTCTGGTGCATACCAAACTATTTCCTCAGAAACCAAACAAGCCAACTGTCCTTATCTGATGATGTCCTTCAAAAACTTTTCTCAAATGGTGCAATCCAAATGTACAACACTTTTCTGTGGGTTGCAGAAACTTAACCCTCTACTCAGCACAAGAGAGATGTTGTATGGCCACAAGAATGTTTCTTATGAGCAGTGGTAATGTTTCTTGTGCACACAAAAAAAGTAATGTGTTTATTTTGTGTGCATTTTCTCTTGCACACTAGAAAGTTTCTTGTGCATTCTACTTTCCCCAGTCTCCCGTCAGGGGTTTTGTGGTTCTTGAGCCCGCTTTGAGGATGGTTTTAGAGCATTGCAAGTCATTTAATTGCCTCTTTCAGCATCTCTTACCTACTTTAAACAAATGTTTTTCTTTTTTAATATTTTACCAACATCAATATTGTCACAGGAACAAGACATCATGGGCTGCAGTGTGGCACAGTTGGAAGGCCGCAGGTTTATCCTGAAAATCCTGTTTCTTTCCGAGGGGTAAAAACGTGCATGTTTGGGTAAAACTGTAAGCTGCTTTGGATAAAAGCATCTGCAAAAGAAATAAACAGAAAGAGTGTTTTTTGTCATTTTTTTGTTCTCTTAAAGTGACAATGTGTAGTTTTTACCAGTAATCTTAAATGACTTCAAAGATGCCCAGTTGTTGAAAAACATTGGCAGTTTCATAATATATAACCATGAAAATCTGTTCTATAAGACATGGAGAGGGTCTAAGTCTCTGGGCGATGCCATATTGGATGCCATGTTTCCTTCTACGGAATCCCATGAGAACAAAATGCATTTACTGATGGTTCCAAATATTTCACCATTAATAAACATTGTTGTTTTACACATTTACCTCTTCACTCGTTGCCAGTGACGAAAGAGAATCAGATGTTCTTGTTATTTTGCCCTCCCAGGGATTTTTGATCCTAATGACCATCTGTTGGTAAGGTCTTATTTGAACACCAAAATAATGCTTGCTTGCAGTGATTTAGGTGTACTGCCCCCTATCGCCAAGGAAACTACAGACTGTCACTTTAACAACAAATATTTCTAACAACAAAACAGTTCAATATTAGCTCAGGGTTAAGTCACTTGAGGTGGTATATGATAGTCTGTGCCATTTTATTTTGCGCAGCCCCTTTAAGACACATAACTGTATCAAGCTTGAATGTCTGTGTTGGCTTTTAACTGTAAATGATAAATGACCCGCACTTGTATAGCACCTCTCAGAGTAAGGACTCTGAATTATGTGAATTATGAGAGTGATGTTATTATGTATATTATGCTAGTTTGGTTTGAGTTATTGTATTGCATTGTCTTGAATTATTGTATTTCTCCATTTTCTCTCGACTATCTTGATTTTTTATTTTCTTTAAATTTGTAACAAAAATTTTGAAAATGAGGTGGCACATCTGAAGGGGCTTATCCCTCTAAAATAAAATTATATAAATAATTGGCCTATATAAATCAAATTAATTATTGCCTCAGCAGCTGATAAATAAGATTATTTTCATTCACTTCCAAGTTAACAAGGTTGTTGGCTTCATATAATGGTTATAAAGTGCATCGTACCCTGCTGAAAAAACCAGCATATGGTGTTTTGGTGCTGGTATGCTGGTCCAGCATGCATACTAGACCAGCCTATGCAGGTCTTTCTGTATTTTTCAGCAGTTTACTCCAAAATAGACAAAAGTAAATGCAGATCAAAACGGGCTGGCCTGGTTTTGGGTACAACCTTTCTTTTCCTCTGTATCTGAATATCTTGCCTCCTCCGTTCTGCAGCATCCTGTTCCAATTGAATAATTTACCCCGGTGCATCATCAAACTGTGAACTCGTCACTTTGGCATTTCCTTGGCCCTTAAGTGTGGCAGTGGCGTAACTCCCGAGAGCCAGTCCTGGCACCAATCACACCTGCTTCCTCACACATCATTTGCACTTTTTAGAAAATGCAATCACGTGAGATGGATTACTTGCTTACATCAGATATTGCCAGGTGGAGCTCCAAGGGAGCTTAAGTGAGAACAGAAGCTAAAGCGCACATATTCTCAATAATGAGACAATGTAATGATGACCTGAATGATTGCCAGTGTTGGAGGCAGGAGGTCCAGTGGTACAGATTGACCATAAGGTGGATAATCAGTCTAGATCTGTTTACACACTCAAACAAGAATGCTCCTGTTCAATGCGATAAAGGACAAAGAAGTTTAATAAAGAGGAACAGCTGAAGTTGGCAGGAACTTCACACACTGCACTCCGTCATTGCTCCAGGAACAATATTTTCTCTGCCCTGGCCAAATGGGCTTGTAATGATGGGATAATAAAAGCTGGAGCCTGGCATAACTTGTAAACCTTAATTAAACCAGACAGCCATCTTAAAGGAAGCCAGCAACTGTGCTCAATCAACATCTGCTGACCATGAATCCAGCCACAGCCCTCCATCATTCCTTCATCAGTCACCCTACCCCTTTATCTGCCGCATCAAGCTTCCAAACCCCTTCCATTTCTCTTTTCCGTACAGTACCCCATCCCATTATCCCATCACCTTGAGCAATAATCTGCGGGACGATGAATGCTGCAGAGCAACGAGGAGCATCAGCGTATATCACAAGGGCGAGAACTAGTCCCCTCACCCCACCGGTATCCTCACTGACCCCTAAGCAGGAGACCTCATCCATTGATTTGTTGCTACTTGCACACACAATCTACACTATCCTCCAAGAATCAGTCAAACAGATCCATAGGCTGCAGTGCATCCCAAAGGAGTTTTTGTGTGTCTATTTACAGGATGTATACATGATCATGTTTTAGCATGTAATGCCTAATGACTCCGACAAATGGAGGTAAATTTCATCTGAAGGCACTTTACATAATTCAGGATCGATATGGGGGCAAAGAAGTCATTGAGTGCGTTTACATGCAGCCAGTAACCCTTTTAAAACCCGAATATTCACAATAACCCGGTTGCGCACGGCCATGTAAACACCGCCAAAAACCTGGATATGCTCATAACCGGGTTTTTAAAAACCCGGTTACTACACCTGGGGTAACCCTTTTCTAACCCGAATGTTTGGTCGTGTAAACGCATATCGGGATATCCCCATCAAAGCGTGTGTTCTGTGCATGCTCTGTTCGCAAGGAATCTTGGTCTTTTGAGTAGCGAGACGTCTTGTATGCGCCAGAACACCGGAAGTAAACAACAAGTTGGGAGCAACATGGCGAGTCGCGGTAAGAGCTGCTGGTGGGTCAATACCAGCACTAAAGTGCAAACAAACGCGGTCGCTATCTCTTCCAAACTGGGAAACATGTTGTTGTTTTCACGGATACCGGAACAAGAAGAAACGGAAATGATGCATATTGCGTCTTGACGTTGTCCATACGTAGTCTTTCTGTCAGAAGCTGACAGATGTAGTTTTAGCTACATGAGTCTGTTTAAAACTATTAGCATGTTCCTAAGATTGCTGTCAGGCAGCTTGTTCATTTTAGGAAGTATTGGTTGAAACAAACTTCTCATGCGCCACGTCAGCCAAAGCTCCTTCCATATGCAGCTTGATAACACTTCTAGTCCAGTTTTGCCTGAACAAGTCCATTGAATGATCGTTTGTGAACTCGTTCATATTTTTTGTGAACATGAACTCGCTCAAGTTTTATCTGTTTGTCACTCTGGTGTTTGTGAATGGGCTCTCTCGCAGTTTGAGAACTTCAGATTTTCTTGGAGCTAAAGCTGGGCCTAACACATCCTGTTAACCTAAGATATTTTAAAGAGTAGACTCCACAAGCATGTGCCACCATAACGAGTAGCGGTCAACGCTGTGTCCACTCTTCAATGTCTTTGCTGTGAAAAATGAGACATTGTCAGACTTTTTGAGTGAGAGAACCGACTTTGGATGTGTTCCAGTAGATGTTTCCTTCTCTGAAGTTGGAATTCCCAGGTACCAAGTGCGACTGGAACATATCATTAATATGGGGAAACATCCAATCTTGAACACAAGTCACAGAATCTACAACTTTTCTTTTTCGTTGGGCATGTCAGAAAGTTCATTCACAAAAATTAGCACTTTGAGATGTATCCTTGTTTTCTACCTCAGCCTGGTTCCTTCCTCCTGGGACCCAAACTTGTATTCGGTGTGGTTTAAAAGAAAAAGCATGCCTAGGTGTTGCAGATTAGTCAATTGTAATTTACGGAAATAAAATTACAAAAATGAAAATACAATAAGTATAAAATTAAATAAAAAAGTTGTCAAAAATCCTAAAAAAGGAAAAACAACTTTTTTTCCAATGAAGTCAATATCAACTGTCTATAAATAATAACAAAACGTCTAAGTAGAAGAGAATAAATATTTCAAGTCCAAGGAGCCAATGTCCACATATGTGGACACAGGCAGAACACTGAAAACCCCTTTTTAAATCTTATTTCTGATAATAGTCAGTCACTCTGAGTTTTTCATGCAGGCTGAACATGAACATAGTCTCCTACATCTATCTCCTGCATTCGCTTCTGAATAAAAAATAGACGGTGGAATTCTTGGATTTTAAAACCTTGTAGATCTACGTCACACCTAACATCCGTGGACTCACCCATTTTGACTCACAACGGGGAAGGCTGTTCTTGGTTTATGGTCCAGGAAACAACAGAAAACATTTCGACTAGTAGAAGCTAACCATTAGCATTAGCAACTCCACCACATGGCAGACCTCCTTCGATTCAATTCAATTCAAAAATACTTTATTAATCCCAGAGGGAAATTGATTACTGTAGTGGCTTTCTTTCTTTCTTTCTTTCTTTATTGAACATGCATGCAAATCAATAGACAACCCAAAGCATTCAAAAA